TGACTTCAGTCGAAGATCATTCAAATTATTAATAAAATCTAATAATATTACGTAGTAGAATAATTATTCGAAAGAAAACGAAACTAGAATGTATTCGATTTATTCCTGATTTTGCTCGAATAATTGCATCAGTCGAGCTATTGATCAAATATGGAGACTCATTGCACTATATAATCCATACGCTCGCAGTCGGGCAAATACACTATATATCATTGAATCCATTTCATTCTCTATAATCCGTGGAGGAAATCCATTTAATATTTCAATAAAGATCCTGTATTTCCAAAATATGCGGCAGTCGATCTAGCACTCCCTAATTTATATTGCTGCTCTCAGTGCCAGTCACTTCTTGCTGGGCTTGACATTCATGACCGGGTTCTTGATATTCCCATTTATGCGAAGAATCACTTCGGCATCAGGGTTCAGTATATTCGCGACCAGCGATAGGACAGTCGCTGGTGCTGATCCCTACGAGGCCATTTCCATATTCTTCTTGGATGCCGCAGTCGAAGGGACGAGGCATTCTAAATATTCTGGCCCTCGCCATTATCATCGTCATATATTTTATCCCAGGTAGAGCAGTCATGCTCCAATCCGGAACCGTAGGCTTGGGCAGTCGGGACCATTGAGCGTCCCATCAGCCTCCATTCGATCAGATCATTATGGGGAATGGTGGCATTCCGGTTCCATTCCTCTATCTCTGAGAGGCAAAAGAACTATGGGCCAGTCCTCGTGTAGCTCATTGCATCCTTATAGAATATTCGGATGATGCCCATACTCAGCTTGGAGGAATTAGTCGGCGCACCAAATCCATCGGCTTGGAACAATCTTCACCTCATTCTCCACGAGACAGCCATTCTGCGTGCTAATATGGTCAGTGAATTGGCGGTTGAAGTAGTTATTAAACTTCTGCTTCTTGGTACCAGTTGATACTCCAGTCCACTCACGTGGGGCTTCTCCAGTCGACCTTCGGCGCACAATGTACTCCAGTCGCTCACATGGGGCATTCTTATCGAATACTCCTTGGCAGTACCATTGCACAGTCTTGCGCATTGCAGTCAGCGCGCAAAAGCTGCCATTCAACTGGTAGCACGGGCAGCGGCTAAGGTCAATCTCGCCAGCCTTGAAGTAGCGCTCGCCAATGCTTGCTGGCAATAGGATCCAGTCATAGACATGAACCAGATCATGGATCAGGTTCTCCTTGATATTCTAGTCCAGGCACCACTTGATCTCCTATTTTCTTTTGATAAAGAACATTCGCTCAGCTTCGATTATTGCCCACAAGCCAGTCTCTATCATACACTCGTTGATATTGTTGGATATAGTCGTCCTGATTCCAAGAGAATTCATTCTCAATCTCAGGCTGGATATTGGATCATTGCTGTGTTCATCCGGGGGTCAAATCGATATCCGGATAGTCCTCCACGCCGGGTGCCTGGTAGGAGGATGGACAGGATGGGGCATTAATGGTTTATTCTCTCTTATTTACAGCCTCTGCCAGTCTGAGCTGCGCTTCCTTCATTCGATTGGCAATCTTATTTGCCTCATTCTCAATCTTATCAAGTTCTTCCTGATTATCGATAATGACGTAGTTATCAAATCCTCGCCAAATCTTCTTTATATCAGCTCCATAGTCCATCAGGTCCAGGATATGAGATACTTCATTATTTATAGTGCCATTCCTCGACAATCGGTGTGGTTGTACCTTCTCACACATCAGGTAAGTTGTCTCAATCGGGGGAGCATTCGGCGGTCTCCTATCAGTCGCGGCAGATACAGCTGCCGAGGCAGTGGCAATTTCGGCCCATTCGACTCAGGCCTAATTCCCATTACAGAATCAATCTGCTGAGGACCAGTCAGGTCCTCCATTGGGACATCCATGGTCAACACTCCTCGTGCATTCGGATCGGAGATCATTCTCGTAAAGGCAGTCGGGAGAATAAAGGAGTCGTCAGTCGCCAGTCGGATCAAGTCCTCGCGATCCTCAGGCACTTTTCCAATCAAGTGCAGTGCAATCAATGAAGACTGCATTCTATTCTCCTTTATTTCTTCAACCGGCATTCCTATCAAGTCCGCGACTTACTGTGCCAGTTCGTCTCCAGTCATCTCCTCGTACCGGAGTTCTGGAACAGTCTCCAAGGTAGGGGCGGCTGCCATTATTATAGTCAGACAAGGAGGTAGCCGCACAGGCAATCAGAGCAGTCTATAGTCACAGTAAGGAAGCAATCCAGAGGAAATATTTCGAGGGAATCAGATTGATCTCACTCTATAAGGTATTATCTCAGATAGTCCCTTGCACGACACCTGCAATCACTCGATATTTGACGAGAAAAGGATCGAAGAAAATATTTCCGAAAGATCTCATTCGAGACCGGAAACTCCAGCATTCTTTGATTTCGAGAAGTAAAATATTTCAATCGGAACACTCACTCGAAAATCTCTCTCATTCTTTCAGACTCTCTTTCTTTGATTTTGGAGTTTTCGGGAAACACAAACAGTGCACATGCAGTCATAACAAGCAATCGGCTTCACTTTACATT